CAACAAAGTCTCCAATGGAGACGTTACTGGGCCTGCTCGAGCAAATCAACGAACAACGGGAGGGCCTTTACCTTTACCTAATATTTCAACTCCAATTCCACCACCATGACCCCTTTCCACCACCTTTATTTTGAGTTTTCCCACCACTGCCCGAGATTTCCCCAAAATAGGCATTCATCTGGGGAACATAAAGTAACAAAATAGGAGACTAACACCCAAGAAGAGCCGAGATAAGTACCAGGAGGTTTACTCCATGGCATGGAGGCCAGCTGCACATGCTAGGGGAAATGGCAGCTCAGATAGAGAAGGGAGCACCAAAGAAAGGGTATTGAGAGGATCCTCCCAGGATGGGACATGCATGCTGAAAGTAGACTACAGACCGAACATGTTTGCCACTCAATGCCTGTTTTGCAAACCACAAAACCCAAAAGGAGAGAGAGAACAAAAGGGAATGCCCTGCCACAGAGGCAGTGTGGGATGCAAGGGGATGGGGGGTGGGAGGTATAGTGGCATCAGTGGTGGTGGAAAGTGGGCACGGGTGGAGGGATGGGTACTCGATCACTGTATAACTGAAACTCAAGCACAAAAATTTCTAAGTCTACAACTGTACCTCATGGTGTTTCACTAATAAAAAATTTTAAAACATTTATTTTGTATTGCTTGCTATAAATAACTGACTAAGAATGATCCAAAAAGGTTTCCGTAGAGGAAAGTCTATGAAAATTGTTGTATCTCATCTTGGAGCCATTGGTCGCTGGGATTAGAGACAGAGAGCTAATTTAAGGACATTGGGCAAGGACCTGGAGAAAGCAGCGGGTTCTTGTTCATCAGGGACCTTTGGGTAGCAGACAGAGAGCACCACCTAGTGAACTGGAAAATGAGGAGCGCTGACTGTGTGGGGGCAAACTACCTTGGAAGAGGCAGGTCATAAAAGTGTTTGTCATTGCAATCCCGCCTGAATCCGTAAAAAACAATTTCCTTCCTCCCACCTCAATCCCGAACCCACAGGATACTAGACTACTGTGAAGGTGAGTTTGTGGGGCCAGGATGATGTCGGAGCTGAGATCAGGGCAGAAACTGGGGAATCGAGTTGATTCAAGTAGTGGCTACCACATGGGAGCTCGTGGTGGCCGAGAGACTATTCTTAGCTTCCCTGTTGCTATTTGGTGGAGCAAAGGCCTGGGAGGCAAGCAGGTCCTACCCATCTGTAATTCTAAAATGTTAGTGTCAGGGGCTAGAGCAATAATACAGTGGACAGGGCGTTTGCCTTGCACGTGGCCAACCCGCGTTACATTCCCGGCACCCCATAGGGTCCCCCGAGCACCACCAGGGGTAATTCCTGAGTGCAGAGCCAGGAGTAATCCCTGTGACTCAAAACAAAACAAAACAAATGTTAGTGTCAGATGGAACTGTGTTCATTTCTTTTGGGGCCACACCCGGTGATGCTCAAGGCTGACTCCTGGCTTTATGCTCAGGCATCAGAGAACTCCTGGCAGGAGGTGAGGAACCATTTATGGAGCTGGGAATTGAACCCAGGTCAGCAGAGTCAGGACAGCATCAAATCCCTTCTGTGATACTTAGCCTGGTCCTCGAAAAAATAATAATATATTCAGGGGTCAGACATATAGGACAGCAGGTAGAGTATTTGCCTTGCATACAGCTGACCAGGTTCAATCCCTAGCATCCCATATGGTCCACTGTGGACCACCAGGAGTAATTCCTGAGTGCAGAGCTAGGAGAAACCCCTGGGCATTGCCAGGTTTACCCCCCAAAAAACATAAAGGATAATATAACCAATGTTCTCCTTTTCTAAGAAAAAAATTGGTTCCACTAATCAAGTGTGACCTTTCTACAACACCAATAATTGTTTTATGAAAAGGAAGATATTTTTATTTATCACCGTCAGTCTTAAAGTTGTTTTAAAAGTGAAAAATCTTTGGTCATGGTCTTAACTGTATTGTTGTATTTTTCTGTTCTGCAAATCTACAAGTCTAGAAACTACCACATCATCATTTCTTGTTTTATGACTGCTGTAGTTAAAACTCGAAGTAGGAACATGAGGGATTCAAGGCGCACCCCAGTTTTATCAGGACTGATGGGTGTTACGTGCAGGACATGCCTCCATCTGTCCCTTTTCTGAAAATTGCCCTGGATTGTCCTTAAACATGTTTTATTCCATATCGGCATCCCAAATACCTCTCCCCGAAACAAAAGAACGACATAGATTCTATCCAGGACTTTTGAAAGATGATCTGAACTCTAGTCCATTCTTCCAAGCAGCCTGAAATCACTGGCATTCTGACACGCTTCCTCCGCCCACCCCTATTTTCTATGCCTCCGTACCAGATCATTAAGCTGCACCCGAGCTTTCTCTCTCCACAAAACACAACTGGCTGTGGATAAGTTACTGGAGGCTGATATTGTTCCAGGCCAGTAACTACAGCGTCCATTGCGTCTCCCATTCCCTGTGAAACTGTTCGCACGGTCTCCACTTCACGATGAACATGTTGCGGACAACAGGTTTTATCTTCCTTCTAGTACCCTGAGTGCTCCGCTTGCAGTAGGCACTCAAATTCGATCAGGAAAATGTGATCACTTTCTCCGTACAAGGAGCACTTTAATAAGCCCCCAAATATAGAAACGTCATCGGGGTCCCCTTGGTTTTACGAATGACAGTCAGGAACTAGGGGCCTGGAATTGCATGGGAACGAGGAAGCAGCCCTTGGAAACCCTTTAGTCCCGAGGCTCTGGTTCCATTTGATTTCTGAAGGGCAAGGGAAGAAAGTGACACAGAATGAAAGCAAAGGACAAAGTGGAGAATCCCCAAGTGAGGAGAGAGACAAGTTCTGGAAAACTCCACAGTAGGTCGGCTTCCCTCCCCCCGCCCCACCCCCGCCTCATTCCAGGTGACAGCCTGTCAAGCAGGGAAAGAGTGGTCGGCGTGGTCGACCCTCACAGTGCAGCTTCCACCTCACCCTGAGGAGACAAGACACTGGTTCTGGCTTCATCCACCCTGACCCAGTGCTCTGTGAGCTCCCGGGCCACTCCGTGGGTCTCCTTTGTGGCTCTCTGCTCTGGCCTCCTGTGGCCCTTCCCATGCTCCCTTTCAACTGCCCTCATCTGTGGCCTTTGCTCTTCCCCATTCGGCTGCTTCCACATTTGCAAACAGTTTTCTCCCATGACAGGAATGGGCCCTGTTTGCCTGGGCCAAGAGTCACTCAAGAAAAATGTTGCTCCCCCCCTCTTGCCCCAGAACTCTCTCTCTGGAAAGAGTCAGTCTTAAGGTACCCCTGCGGTCCTTGAGAGTTTGCCTAGCGCCACACAGTCACCTGGAGAGGGCAGGTGCTTAGATAGTTAACGTATCTGTTCACCGAGAAGTGCAGAGAAGTTCAGTAACCATTAGAACACCCGACATGTCTGAGCTGACTGTTTGAGGGTGTCTACCTCTCTGGGGAATGGGACATTTCTTTTTCCACTGAGAATGGTGCTGCTAGCTGAGACCATACACGACTATTTCATACAAATGTCCCATGGCTCCAATTATGGAACCAAGAGCTGATCCAGCGGACCTTGCATCCCTGGTACTTGCTCTGGACTGAAGCCATCCTCTTCTTTCCTAGGACTTTAGTGGGGGAACCTAAGGGGTCCCTCAGGAGTGGAAAAAGCTGGCATGCAGGGGGTGCTGTGGAGCAAGGTTCCCTGCAAAACAGTGGCCAGCTGACTCTGGGGTTTCTGGGTTCCATCCTGCTGCCTCTGCACTCAGGAATTACTCCTGCTGGGCTCAGGGGACCATAAAGGATGCGAGGAAGGGGGAGAGGTGGAAGAAGATCAGAACCCTAGTCAGCTGCATGCCAAGCAAGCTCCTGACCCACTGTGGCTCCTCCTCCTCCCGGCCTTCTGTATCTTTTTGAGGAACTCTGCACCCTTTCCCATCCCCGGCAGCTGTGCACAGGGGCCGTGTCTCCAGACCTGCTTGGACTCCTGTGGCTCCAGCTGACCCTCTGTCCCCAGGCCCACCACCGACCAGTGGGAAACACTACACCACTAGGCCACCGTGATGGTGATGGGTGCGTCTGTACTGAGCTTGTACAGAAATTTTCTTTTCTTCCCTTGCGACATCTGGATATGCTCAGAAGTTACTCAAAGATGCGGGGTGCTGAGGATCAAACCTGGTTGGGTGCTGCAAGGCAACACCGACCCGCTATGCTACAGCTCTGGCCAAACTTTGTATGCCCTGGGCCGTGTTTTTACTTTCCTGATGGCACCGCAGGAACTGCCAACGTTTTGAGGATGACCACCTGAACTAGCCTGGTTTTGGTCTCTGTGCCACTGTCCTCAGCAACTGCGAAACTGACTCTGTTCTTTAGGAACTTTCAAAGCTGAATTTATCGTGGATCTGGGCCACAGTCAGTGGAGTTCTGGGCTTACTCCTGGCTCTGAGCTCAGGGATCACTCTTGGCAGGACGCGAGGCATGATATGTTGTGTTGGGGATTGAACCCGGGTCAGTTGGACACAAGGCAAGTGCAAGCGGCGTTACTACTCATTATACTATTGCTGCAGTCCTGTCACCTCAGTTTTTTCATGCCACTTCACACTCTGAGCTCACTTGTGCATGTGTCTTAAGGGGTCCAGCTCTGATCTTTGGCGTGGGGGCCTCTGGTGAGAACAGCATTCTTTGTTCAAGAGATCCTGAGCATTTGGGCCCTACATGTACAATGTGAGCTGCGGAAGGCCAGGCCCGGCCCCTTCCCTGCCATGACTGTCTCTCCTGTCGCCAGTGACTCACGCGCTGGCTGGGTTTGATCCCCAGCACCACACAAATCGATAGAGGCACAGGGCAGGTGTCTCCAGTCGGCGAGAAAGGGAAGTGAAGTCACACTTCATCAGAGGAGCCTCTGGAGAGCTCCTCCCATTACACACAGCTGCTGAAGGAGAAAACCAGTCCTGGCACCTCAGGACTTCCTGGCATCTCTGAGGAGTCCAGTCTCAAGGAGGGGGATCTGGGAGGCACCTTCAGGAGGCTCAAAGGAATAAGACTCAAAAAAGTGGCACAGAGTTGATGGGTTCTCCTTGGGGTCCGTATCCACAGCTGTGAAATAACCAAATCTCTGCTGTCCGGTCAAGAGAATGTGGAGGGAATGTGCACCTACCACGCATGGGACAAGTGTGTGTGCTGCTCTGAGTTCACAGTTCCTTGGATCCAGGAGTGTCCCAAATGGTCAAAATTCAGTGATCTGGCACCTGCAGAAAGAAGAAACAAATTCGATGGCTCCTGTGCCCACCCTGGCAGTAGCCTCCCAGGACCCACTTACCCACTCCCCTAACTACAAGACTCATCGCCAAGTGCTCCCGAGTGGGTGGTTGTTGGGGCTGACCAGCAAACAGTCCTAGCTGGGGGAGCACAGGGTGACAGGCCTTAACATGTGCCAGGACAACTCACACAGTGTTCTGCGACCACATGGTGGCACTCTCCACTTTCCCAGGCTAGCACCTGGGAAGCAAGGGCTGGTTCCTGCCACTTCAGTGGAGAGAGTGACTGAGGCACCAGCACTCACCTTCAGGGACTTGGCTGATGCCTACCAGGCGGGTGGCCAGCCCAGGGAATCCAACCCCAGTGCCGGACACACAAACCCCAGGACCGTCTAGGGGAAGAGAAGGTGAGGAGAAACCCTGGCCACGCAGCAGGGGCGGCCCCTCACGCTAGCTCACCACTGAAGCCCCTGGGGGGTAGTCCAGACACCCCCCTAAGTGCCATGTCCCCCAAGCTACTGACCACCAGAGCGCCCAAACTGCCAGGCTATTCGCACGCATCTACATCTGGGGGATATAGTGAAAAAACCCAATGAAATGAACGCCTCACCAAGAATCCTCTATCCAGCTCAACTCTCATTCAAACTCAGAAGGAAACATACACTACTTCATGGATGAACAACAGCTCAGGAACATCACAGACTCAAAACCAACTTAAAAGAAGGACTAAGGGGGCTTCTATACGACAAGAAAACCCCCTACAAGCACAAGTCCCTACAGAAAGATGGCACAAAACCCTCTACCAATAACCTCTCTCAACATCAATGGTCTAAGCGCACCAACCAAGAGACACAGAGTGGCAAAATGGATTCGGAAACTGAACCCAACATTCTGCTGCCTACAAGAAACTCATCTGAACCTTCAGAGTGAACACAGACCCAAAGTTAAAGGATGGAAAACAATCCTGCAAGCAAACAGTTCCCTCCAAATAGCTGCGGTGGCCATACTAGTGGCCTTAGAACTCATTTATATTTTACTGAAAAATCATTTTCTGGGGCAGACATGATGGCACAGAAGGTAAGGTGCTTGCCTTGCACATCACTGACCCAGGTCTGATCTCTGGCACCCCAGAAGGTCCTCTGAGCCCTGCCAGTAGTGATTTCTGAGGACAGAGTCAAGAGTAAACCCTGAGCGCTGGATGTGGCCCCCCAAAAAACAGAAAACTCATTTCTAAGTTGGATTTTTGGAAGCATAAATTTGCACACAGAAATGACTGGAGATCGACAACACCTTTATATTTATAAAGTATGTTAAGTGGAAGGGCCAAAGGAAGAGGCACTGCTCAGGTCTTTCGGGGGCTAATGATTTTCCCAGCTCCGCCAGTGGTGCCTGAGGCTCCCAGGACTACACTCCATGATGATCGTGTGCGGCCAGGGGTGAAATAAGCATCAACCCCTTCCCAGTCATCACCTTAACCTCTGTACTCTCCGCTACACCTGCCTTTTAATTCTTTTGGTGTGGGGGGAAGAGGAGGTGCAGGGAGAAGCTGTGAATCAGTGCTCAGGAATCTGGAGGCCCCTCCCAGTGAACTGAAACGAAGGGAGCTGGTGGTTTACTAAGAAGCCCGAGAATGTGGGGGTGCTGGCCCAGGAGCACCAAGGCTTTGGGGCCTGTAGGCACCCACATTCAGTGCTCAGGAAACCAGATGGTGCCAGGGAGTGAACCGGATTTCTCCACATGCAAGGCTCACTCTTTAATGCCTAGACTATCTTTCTGGCCTGCAAATTTGGTCTTTTCTACGTCTTAAATCTGAATTTATTATCAGCACGCAGGTGATTGAAAGTTGAAAACTACTGTGATATTGAGACCTGGACAATGGGAGATCAAAGGCGCTTAGATGCGTATCTCTTTTGGCTTGTAAAAAAAGATTCAATTCACTCTAGAGGCCAGAGAGGGGGTCAAAAGGGCCAGGGCATGGTCTGTATCGGGGGAGGAGACCAGAGGAAGATCCTGGGTTCCATCCCCAGCACTGCATGGTCCCCCTGAGCACTGCTGGGTGTGTCAAAACCCAAACAAGCAAAACTCACTACTAACATATATGCTAAGATGTTCCCAACAATACTCTTGAGCACATAAATATCTTTTCTGTCATTTGCACTAGCCTGAGTCAAAAAGAAGTCTTTTGAACAATACTCAGATTCGTCACCCTTAGTGGTTAAACTGTCAAAAACACTGAGTTTACAGCAAATAAGGGAAATGCAATAATTGAACATGCAAAAGGACCCATTCTGTTCTCTCACAGAGATTCTACTTAGGCCAGTGAAGTGAAGAGTGGATGGAGAGAGTGATGGGAATGAGTTCCCAAAGAAATAACCAGTGGTGCTGGAGCAATAGCACAGCGGGTAGGGCGTTTGCCTTGCATGCAGCTGACCCAGGTTTGATTCTTCCGCCCCTCTGGGACATCCCAGCAAGCTACTGAGTGTATGCCACCTGCACGGCAGAGCCTGGCTAGCTACCCGTGACCTATTGGATATGCGAAAAACAGTAACAAGAAGTCTCACAATGGAGACGTTAATGGTGCCTGCTTGAGCAAATCGATGAACAATGGGAGGACAGTGCTACAGTGCTACAGTGTTTATAATAATGCACATTTGAAGGTACATAACATGTGAACACTATATAACGATTAGAAGCCAAAAGGCAACAATAAGAAAATAAACATTCTTTTGGCGCGTATGGAACAACATTTATAAAAACTTCTCACATACAAAGGAAGTCCCACAAATAAGGAAATTATACCATGCAAAATACATTCCAACCTCAATCCAATAATCAACTATAAATAAATATTTTTAAAAGACACTGTACATTTATAAACTAAAAGAATAATGTAGTAAACCACTATGACAATAATAGCTGGGAATGTGAGGCTTAAAAGTAGGTAAGGGATATTCCTGATAGCATTTCAGTTCAATATTGCAAACCACAATCGGAGAGAGAGAGAGAGAGAGAGAGAGAGAGAGAGAGAGAGAGAGAGAGAGAGAAAATGCCCGCCAAAAGAGGCAGGCAAGGGGTTTGGGGTGATGGGAAGGAACGTGGGGGGACACTGGTGAAGGAACGGGTGTTGGAATACTGTATGACTGAAATCCAATCATGAACCGCTTTGTAATGCTCTAAAAAACCAAACAAATAAATCACAGTCACGGTCCTCCTGTTGTTCATCGATTTGCTCGAGCAGGCCCAGTAACATCTCCATTGGAGACTTTGTTATTACTGTGTTTGGCATATCGAATATATCACGGGTAACTTGCCAGGCTCTGCCGTGCGGGCAAGATACTCTCAGTAGCTTGCCGGGCTCTCCGAGAGGGGCGGAGGAATCGAACTCGGGTCGGGCATATTGGCTGTGTGCAAGGCAAATGCCCTACCGCTGTGCTATCGCTCCAGCCCAAACAAATAAATAAAACCAAAAAAATCATGTAGTATAAAACAATAAACAAAAAAAAAACAGCAACTGTGAAGGATTTAGAATTGAATCACAACGGAAACAAAAATCTGGGGGCAAAGCTATAATAGATTTTAGAAAGAATTTCATAATCTTAAATTTCTATATTTCACAATAAGAACTTTAGTATACATTAAAAAAAAGTTCATAGAAGAAATGAGAACCTAAAGATAGGATTAAAATTAAGCAAACCAAGTGCCAAACAGGTAGTACAGTGGGAAAGGCACTTGCCTTGCATGTGACCAGTCCAGGTTTGATCCCTTTGTTTGAACCTTTGTTAAATTATTATAGAAAGCTTTTCAGTATGTAAGCCTTGGTTTAAGCATTGCAAAGCCTGCTGGGCAAAGAGTGGGCATAAGACCCAAGAGAGGCCAATCTTAGCCTATTCATTGAAACCTGAATCTTCAAAGGATGCTGAGGACTCCGCACAGAGAGCGGCTAAAATGCAGCCTCTCTAATATTCAGGCCTTGGAGAAACCTTTGTTGAGATCTTAGTTCCTCAATCCTTGGATCTGTGTTGTCCTTTCCAAAATCTGATTAAAAGTCTTCCTTTGGAAAAAAAATCTTCCTTTGTTTCCATTCAATTTACAATATTCATTTCTGCTGCAATTGCCTGAGATGAATAATTTCTGTTGTTTGTGTCACCATTATGCTGAATGGACAGAACTCCCAAAATCAAATGACGCAGTAACTTTGTATTTGTTTAATATCTCATTATCTCTCTCTCTCTCTCTCTCTCTCTCTCTCTCTCTCTCTCTCTGTCTCTCTCTCTCTTTAAAGTTATTTATTGACTCATCGTGAGAGCAGTTACAAAGCTTTTGGGTTTAAGTCTTGGTAATACAATGATGAAACACCCGTCCCTTCCCAGTGCACATTTACCACCACCAAAACCCCCACTATACCCCCCAGCCCACATCCTCCCCCTACCTGTGTGGCAGATGGTTTCTACATTACTCTCTCTCTCTCTACTTTGATTACATTCAATATTTCGACATCAGACCCACCACTATTATTTGGAATTTTACCCCAACACTCATATCTGCTGAAAAAGCAACATTAGGCAATTTGTTTTCTACTGCTGATCATGAACAACGATTTTGGATTTCTGAAATCTTAACAATTAGATCTGGAGGGATTTCTGCCAAAAGCCGCTGGGTTCCAAGATTTGTTTTTGAGTCTCTGGGATCATGGCAGAAGCAGTTTGTTGAGTAGTCAGAGGGCCCATTTGTGGGCAGTGACTGGGGTCTCTTTGGGCTGTGGGAGGGAAGAGCCAGTCCCACCCCATTCCATCTCATTATCTCTTTCTAGCTACTCATGAGCCTTTCTCTTCGCTGTCTCCTATAGAGGTACTATAGAATTTGAGAGAGATGGCTCTGGATTCAAGTTTTTGGGCTCCATTCCTAGTTCTGTCTCCTCTAGACTATGTGAGTTGAGGCACCCCAGCCTCAGTTTCCTCCCCTGCCAGATGGAGAAGAGCAATACCTACATTTTTAAGTCATTATAAAACGCATATGAATTTCCAAAGGTAAACTGCAAGGGCTCTTGGCACACAGTTCAGTCCTGAGAAATGCTTATGGAGATGATGGCAGTGGTAGTGAAGCGAAGTTCTCTGGCTTAGGAGGCCATGATTGCTCTCAAGGATCTTTTCTCTCCTTATCTAAATCCATGGAAAGAGTTCAAGCACCACCATTTCCACAAGATCCACACAGGTCTGCCAAGTGCACATTCAACTAACAGTTGACTTGCAGAAATTATAATCTATAGCAGACCCATAAGTCATGATTATGGGTCTTCCTTCCTTCCTTCCTTCCTTCCTTTCTTTCTTTCTTTCTTTCTTTTTTTCTTTCTTTCTTTCTTTCTTTCTTTCTTTCTTTCTTTCCTTCTTTCTTTATTGTCCAAAGTGTGTAAACCATCACTACCCCAATGACAAAATCCTTCCTTGAAGGTAAGAATGTAATTGTACATATTGAGAGGTTGGGGGTGGAGAAGCCTCCCAAGCAATGCTCAGGGGACACTCCTGATAATATGAATCAACTGGATAGTACAGTAGACTCGGACTACTGTAATCAACTTGGACTCAGGAATACAGCTCTGTTCACGCCTCGCAGTACTCACAGTCAGCCTTAAAATTTAACACTTTATTTTCTCTCTCTAACCCCTGCCCAAGAGCCAAAGCAATCCTGGGGGTAAAAGAAGGTGGGAGGCATTGTAAAACTTCAAAATGCACAACAAAGCGGCAGCAATTAAAACAGCATGGTACTGGAATAAAGACAGACCCCTAAATCAATGAGATAGGATTGAAAATTCAGAAACAGACCCTTGAGTATATATATGGTCTGTTAATCTTTGATAAAATGGTGCTGAGAAAACTGGTCAACCATGAGCACAAAAATAAACTCAGACCTCTTCCGAATGTCATGCACAAGAATGAAATCAAAATGGGTTAAAGATCTTGATATCAGACTTGACCCTATAAGACAAAGAAAAGAAACATAGACAGAAAATCTCCACGACATTGAAGCTAGAGGCAACTTAAAGGAGGAAATACCACTGACCAAGCAAGTGAAACAAAATATAAACAAATGGTGGCACTGTAGCACTGTCCTCCTGTTGTTCATTGATTTGCTGGGGTGAGCACTGGTCTCCATTGTGAGACTTGTTATTACTGTTTTTGGCATATCGAATATGATATGCCGTGCGGGCGGGATACTCTCAGGAGAATGTTGGGCTCTCCGAGAGGGATAGCCACGTGCAAGGCAAACGCCCAACCCACTGTGCTTTTGCAACAAACGTACTATATAAAATTAGTACCTAAAAGTAGCTTCGGCACTTCACAGGAAACAATGACCAGATTAAGAAATTATTTGCCCATCACTCATCTGATAAAAGATTAACATCCAGGACATATAAAGCATTAGCAGTATTCTACAAGAAAAAATGTATCCGATACTATCAAAAAATGAGAAAAAGAAATAAACAGAAGTTCCTCAAAGAAGAAATACATATGGCCAAAATGCATGTTTTAAAAAATACACTACATCATCAATCATCAGGGAAATGCAAATCAAAACAATGAGCTATCACACCTACAGCAGCAAGACTGACGCTCAATAAACAAACAAACAAACAAACAAAAAATGTAGTATTGAAGAGGTTGTGGGGAAAAGCAGCCTTCATTCGCTGCCGGTGGGAATGTCCATAGGACCAGACTTTTGGGAAGACAATAAAGACATTCCTCAAAAGACTACCAATTGAAGGTTTATATGACTCAGCAATTCCACTCCCTGGAAGACATCCCAAGGGTCCAAAGCACAATGCAAGACAGACATCTGCACCCCTGCGTTCACTGTAGCACTATTCATAATAGCCAAAATCTGAAAACAACCCAAGTGTCCAAGAACAGATGACTGGATAGAGAAGCTGTGGCACATACACAGAACACAACGGAATACTACGCAACCATCAGAAAAAGATGAATCAGGCAATTTGCTAAGTGGATGGATCGGAGTGGTATCATGTTGAGTGATGTTAGTAAGAGGGAGAGGGACAACTCAGAATGGCCTCTCATACGTGGGATATAAAGAAACTTCATAGGAGTAACAAATGCCCAAAGGCAAGAGAAACAAAGAGCAGGAGAAGTGGTCTTCAGCAGGAAGCTTACTGTGGAGCAGGGGTGAGGGGGGTAAGTTGGGGAAGGGAACACTAGAATAATGGTGGAGGGGAAAGTGCCTGCCACAGAGGCAGACTGACAAGTGGGAAGGACACTGGGGACTCTGGAGGAGGGACGAAGAACCTGGAGAAGGGACTGGTGTTGGAAATGGAAAATTGTTAACCTGAGACTTAATACTGAATAACTTTGTAACTATAATTCATAGTGATTGAATAAAAAAATAATAATTAACACTTTAAGGGATCACCAATGAGCAAAAAATATTTCCAATCTCAGCTATTTCTCGGATTACACTTTCTGAGGTGTATGTTTTGGAATAAGTGCCGCCACAGTGAGCACATGGCCGGTGCTCTTTATCATGTGCACAAAGGTGCCAGGGATGTGACCCAGTGGCAAAACACTTAGCTGGTATGTGCGTGTCAAGCTCAAGTTGCAGTACGACCAAATTTATATATATATACACACATATATATGTATGTATATATATTATACATAAAAACAAAACAAAAAAAAAGACTGGCGACAGATGTTTGTCTTTTTCCCCACATACCTGGTATTCAATAAACATCTCTCTCCCCACAAAACACAAACACAAAACAACAACAATCAAAAGAAAACTACCTTGTAGATTTCAAGAGTTGAAAATTCTGTTTTCCTGAGTTTTGGAAATAAGTTTTAAAATACAAACACAAAGTTAAGAGGAAAAAACTAATTCCAGTCATCTTAGGAAATTCCCACTGCATCTGTTACTGTGAAGCACTGACACGACCACGCCAGAGGTCTTGTCTTGTTCAAAAATTAAAAAAAAATGGAGATGAGAAACAGATATTCGGAGATATATTTTTCCCCTTCCAATTAATTTTTCCCCTTCCTAGGAATTGCCGAAGAACAAAGTGGAGACGATCAGTACTATAACCTTTCATTGTCAACCTTGCCGAGAAATGTTCTTTTATGTTGGAAACTGCGTGACAGAAAGCACACCATCATCTTGCTGTGATTTGTCTAACCATGAGAAGAAATACACACAGAGATCAAAACTTGGCCACTGCTGCCCCAGAGCGTATCACGTCCAGGTAAGTGATGGCAGCATCTCACAGCTGCGTAGGCTGTTGTTTGGCCGGGTAGGAACGTCCATTGGGGAAAGGGAAGCCTATCCTCAGTCCCATACGAAACTGTCTATGAAATGGAGACTTACAAACTGACTAACTTGACTCACCTGGGAACAAGCTTCTATTACATCTAAATGATACCGCTGCAAAACCCCGTGCTTTGTGGCTCAGTGTTGGCTAAAGAATATGGTTATTTCAAAGTTACGAAAAAGTGACTTTTTTTTTCCAACATGAAATCCATCAAATTTCTCCAGCAGGCTGATGTTTCATTTCTAGAGGAAAGCTCAGCCTCGGAGAGAAAAAGAAAAGGAACAGTGAGGAGGATGAGGGGAAGATAACTCACTGGGATTGTGCCAGACAGCCTGGTGCGACCACGTTCTGATTCTCGTCTTCAGCCTGGAGGGCCGTAAGCCCGGCCATGCTGACCATCCCATCACTCGTGTGGCCGGGAAACTGCGGGAGCACTGATAGAATCTTTTCTACCAAGTTGTCTCCATGAGGTCCCACTGCTCCTATTTAAGCAGACAAGAAGACAAAAATTTACAATGATGACCTGGGGGAAGACCCCTTGCACTCTGGGTCAGTAACTGTGATCTGTAGAGAAACAAAACCCGGGATCAGACAATATCAAGTGATAACAAATCTTTGGCTTTCGATTTCTAAAGTAAGAATGGCAAGCAGCAGGGGGAGGGGGTTGTAAGGCAGAAACGGAGCCAAAGTAGAAGTGACAGAAGGACCCAAAGGCACGCAAGGTCAGTGATGGAGTCTTTTTGGCACTTTGGGGGTAGTCAAGGTGCAGTAACCTTGTTCAGAATTAAAAAGCGCAAACACTATGGTAACCACGTTACACAAGTTATCGTTTTTAGAAGAAAAGGAGGAAAAGAAATTTGGCTTCATGTTTATAAAGGTCCTTTAATCTAAACTAACATGCAGGTGGGGATGGAAAGAGCAGGAGTTTAGAAACTTGCCTTGCACATGGGTTCAACCCCAGGACACCATACTAAATTTTTAGGATAGCGATATTTTTCCTTTTTGTGCTAATGACAATAGAAGGTCCAGAAGAGTGTAGAAATCTGATGAGTAGATCTCCCCTCTTCTGGAATCTTCTCTTCACGTGGTAAATATTATTGGGTACACCCTGTACCCAAGAGGTCGAGGACACTGAACTTACAGTTACAGACTCCCTGAAGTTCTTCCCCGATGAAAGAATGAATAAATTGAGAAATGGTAACAGATAACAATAACAGAAGAAGTTAAAGAGTGTGTTCTATGTACTGGTGACTACTGAGATATTTTACATCTATGTATTAACACTTTTACAACAAATGAGGGTCAGAGAGACATTGTATATGTTTCCTCTGCTCAAGCATGAGGTAACTCTGGATTCAATCCCCAGTACTGCAACCCTCTGATTATCACCAGGAGTGAAACCTAAAGTAATGGGCTGGGAGTAGGTCCTGAGCTTCGGAGACTGCCCCAAAAAACACATTAAGAAATAATAAACAAGTTCATTAAATGAACTCAACCCAAAATTCAAGACAAATAACAGTGTTCAGTGCTTTTTAAAGAATGGACCTAAGTTCTCACTCCCAAATTCATCATTGAGGTTTTTTACAATTACTTTTCAGTTATTATTATTATTTTGACTTTTGAGGTCACACCTGGTGCTTTTCAGGAGCTACTCCTGGCTCTGCACTCGGAATTATTCCTGGTGGTGCTCAGGGGACCATAGGAGATGCTGTGGATTGAACTTGGGTTGGCCATGTGCGAGGCAAACACCCTTCCTGCTATACTATTGCTCTAGCCCTAACTTGATCATTGTTTGGAAGATTATCATTCCACCAGTGAACAGAACTACCCACAACACAACTTTCCCTTGGACAATTCAGAAAACAAAACCTGGGAGACTTAGGGGCTGGAGCGATAGTACATCAAGTAGGGCAAATGCTTGCCCGTGGCTCACCCAGGTTTGATCCCTGGCACCCTTGATGGACACCTCAGCTTGTCAGCAGTGAACCCTGAGTGCATAGCCAGTTATGGCCCCAAACAAAAAGCAGACAAAAAAGATGGTGGACTTAGACATTGATAGAAATATTGATACAATTCTGGCCCAGCTGGTCTTCTCCTCAATGCTCATGCTTTCCCCCTTTTCAGTAAGTAAAGAACAACTTCTGAACCTGCAAATCTATTTCCTTCCAAGGATGAATACAATACTCAACTAATATGTTTGGATCTATAAGTTGAAATGATTTTTATTCACAAAGCAGCCCTGCAAATAGGATTAACAAATATCACTATTGCCGTGCTCGATAGCACAGCGGGTAGGGCATTTGCCTTGCACATGGCCAACACGGCCGACATGAGTTCAATTCCTCCGCCCCTCTCGGAAAGCCTGGCAAGCTACTGAGAGTACACACAAGGGCCCGGAGGATTGGTCCATCATTGGGAGCCTGCAACAAGTGCTCTGGGAGAAGGCAGCTGGAATAGAGAAGGGATCACCAAGCCAGTGATGGTTGGAGGATCGCTTGGGATAGGCGATGTGAGCCGAAAGTTGACCAAGGACCAAACATAATGGCCTCTCAGGATTTGTATTGTAAACCATCATATCCCAAAGGAGAGAGAGAAAGTAAGAAGGAAACTACCTGCCATAGAGGCAGGGGTGTAGTGGAGTGGGGGTGGCGGGAGACATATTGGCGACACTGGTGGTGGAAAAGCTACACTGCTGTAGGAATTGGTTTTCGATCATTGTGTGACTGAAGCTCAAACCTTAAAGCTGTCACTATCTCGTGGCGATTTAATACATAAATTAGAAACCTAAAACCTCTCAACAAGTCAGTCATAAAGGAACAGACCTCAGGTTCATCACCTATAAGTAACCCATGTCTAACATTATGTTCAATGACAAATTAAAAAATAATAAAAGTAATCACTTTATTCATCTGAACTCAGAGCCACCACAGAACATAAAAACAATGGCCATGTCATGTCTCCTAATGTGTTGCTTATTGTCATAGAGAGCACTGTGAACTTGGTTGCATACCTACATAACAAACCTACAGGTCAAGTTTTCACTTTTTTTCACTTTTGTCATCTTCCTATCCATTTAAACATTATTGATTTCAATGACATCTCCCATGTGAGAATTTTCTAACTCAGCACCATCATTCCATTACCCTATCCTCCCGCTCATCCCCTTAACAGACAACAATCAGTTGGTATATCTGCTAATAGTTGGAATATCTTTGACTAAATTTGAACACACCTGTTTTCTTTAACATATTTGTTTTAGAGGGTTGGAGTGACAGTACAGTGAGGAGGGCTTTTGGTTTTCACGCAACCGACCCAGGTTCTATCTCTCACCCCATACGGACTCCTGAGCACGCCAGGAGTAATTCCTGAGCACAGAGTTACGAGTAACCCCTGAGCACTGCCAAGTATGACCCCAAACCAAAAAGTAATAAAATAATATATTTGTTCTAGTGTGCCAGAGAGCTGGGATCCCCAACACTAAGATGTAACAGGTGCTCAGTAACTGTGTTAAATATTCAATCCATATCATTCCAATGCAATATATAATAAATTATGTATTCAACCAAATTTTAATCAATATGTAAAACATTTCAGGTTCTATACTGGACAAAAGTACAAAGAAAAATAAAGGTACAAAGAAAAATAAGCCACAGCCTTAGCTTCAAGAGAATCTAAAATAACCAGAGAAATAGTGTAGAGGTTAAGCCAGTCACCTTCAACAATGCTGATCCCTGTTCTTTTCCGAGGTACTTGATTTTCTGAGGTACTTGATTTTCTGAGGTACTATTGTGAATGGGATTGTAATGTCTGCCATGAAGGCCGGGGGAGGGTGCAAAAGGGGAGGTATACCAGGAGTATTGGTGGTGGGGAATATGCACTGGTGGAGGGATGGGTGTTTGATCATCTGTGATTGTAACCCAAACATGAAAGCTTGCATCTATCTCACGGTGTTCAATAAAATTAAAAATAAAGAAATAAATAAAAAATAAACAAAATATAAAATGATCACAATAATGCCCAAAATGAGTGTGTGTGTATGTGTGTGTGTGTGTGTGTGTGAGAGAGAGAGAGAGAGAGAGAGAGAGAGAGAGGGAGAGAGAGAGAGAGAAAAAGGGAGGGAGAGAGAGGGAGAGAGAAGAAAAGTGCTTGTCATAGGGACAGGCCAGGGGAAGGTGGCGGGGGGGAACCCTGGGACACTGGCAGTGAGAAATATACGATGGTGGAGGCACAGGTGTTGGAAAATTGTATGACTGAAAACCAACCATAAACAGCTTTATGACCCTGTATTGTATGGTGATAAATTTTTTTTAATTAATAAAATGAAATATGAATTTTTTAAATTAAAAAAAGACAAATAATTTAATCTATTCTGGATTCCACCAAAATTTTCCTAAGGATTTTAAGTTGTAAAGGCAATTGCCATTATAACAAGATGACAGTGATATGGAGCTCGAGAGACAGTACAGTGGATAGAGCATTTGCCTTGAAGGTAGCAGACCCAAGTTTGATTTCATATGGTCCCCTGAGCATCACCAGGAGCAATTCCTGACTGAGGCGTCAGGAGTAACTCCTGCGCATCTCTGAGAGTGCCTCTGCCCCCCAAATGACAATGACAGTAGCTGAATTAACTGCATGGTTCTTGAAGTAACTTAAGGAAAAGGTTCTACTGAAGAAATAATTATAAAGCATTTATGATATATAAGATACAAAGTCTGCTAGATAAAGGATGGTACATTTAATAAGATATTTTACCTTCCCAGTACAGCATATGTCAAATTTGAAAATCAGAAAACACTGACTTCCATTCAACCATCATAACAAAAGCATTATCTGTACTTTATTCATTTCAGAATCTTTCTATTAAGACTCCAAATGTTGTCAGGGAGGTAATACATGAGGGAAGGCATTTGCCTCACATGTAGCCAACCTCAGTTCAAATCCCTAGCACCACATGTGGTCTCTCGACCACCAGATGGAACTCCTAAGCTGAACCAGGAATAGTCTCAGAGCACTGTTGGGTGAGGTTCAAATCTCCACATCACCCCACAAGTAAAGATAATTGGATGGACAAACAAATGACAGCTCATTCATCTGATCCAGTTTACAAAACATAAAACTTAGCTAACACAACTAAAAAACAAAAAGGAATAATTAACAACTTAAAAAAGAAGCTAAAGGGGCTAGAACTTTAGCACAGTGGGTAGGGTGCCCGCCTTGCATGTGGTCAACCTGGGCTCAACCCTAGAGATCCCATATGGATTCCAGAGTAACACCTGAATATCACTGGGTGTCCCCCCACTCCCCAAAACTAAAGGAACATAAGCCATACAGAGTTTAAAAACAAAAGCCTTCTGATTTTTTAAAAATCAATTAAAAACTGAATTAAAAATATTAAAATCCTGGAGCTAAGAAAATAGCTCAAATAAAAGCACATGCCTAACATGTCAGATCCTGTACCATGAATATCACTGAAAGTATCCCCAACACCAGCAGTTACTGGCCTTATTTTAAAATTATTACATATACAAAATACAGAAAAAAACCAAAGCTCAAGATTGGAAGAATGCAAGCTGAAATTTAATAGTTTCTAAATCTAAAAATTTGCAGCACTCATTTTACAAAAATACTTTCAATTCTAGAATTACAAATTACTGATTCCATGCAACTTTTATAATTCAATTCACCATTAGGGAGGAAATCTTTTCCATGGCTAAGTATTTTTTGAGATATAAATAACAAAGTATTTGTTTTAGGTGTTCAACATGACTTGATATACATATACATATATACATATAAACTGCAAAATGCTGATCACAGCAATTTAACATTCATCATCACAGTTTTCATTGTTTCCTTATAAGAATGTTTAAGATGTACAAGTTTTAGCAACTGAAAGTAAAACTTAAATAAGAATGCTTTCATATCATGATATGATAAAAAATGTAAAACCAACAGAATCTACCACTAAAGTCTTAATAATGGCACCCAGTTTTTGATACAGAACTGTTCAAGGAGTAAAGGATGTATTTCAATGGAAGAGTACATGCTTCACATGTATGTGGTCCTGGGATCAATTCCCTGCACCACAAGACTTGAAATTGAAAATTTAAAAACTTACCCATACTGTAGTGCTCCCGTTTTAATGTCTCCGATAGTGACATGAACATCATCCTCATCATCATCACTGTCACGATCATATCCAGTTTCAGTCGCTTTCTATACCAACATAAATAGTAGTAAAATAGATTCAATAATCCACCTTCAATATCTACTAACTGAAAAAGTAACCAATTTGTTTCATCTATGGGTTTAGAGTTATGAAACCAATGTTTCCACTTCTTCTTTGTAACTTTAATGCTTTATAGCCTAAAAAAAGTGATAGAAATGTGAAAAAAGCTTTCAAAAAGTTTTTGTAAGACTACCTAATGTATCTTTATATGTAAAGCTTTCTCTCTTGCAAAAAGGATCTAAGGGAATGTGCTAAGATATCCAGCAGATAGAACCATAAAAAGTAGGCATTGGAAGAACTTTTGGCAAAAGGAATGTGAAGATAAGAGTGAAAAATTAATTATGGAGCTGGAGCCATAGCATTGCAGGGAGGGCATTTGCCTTGCGCACGGCTGACCCTGGACTCGATTACCAGCATCCCATATGGTCCCTGAGCACTGCCAGGAATAATTCCTGAGTGCAGAGCCAGTGCATCAGCAGGTGTGCCCCGAAAAGAAAAAAAAAATTAATCATACTAGGCACAGTGTTAGGTTGAAAAGCAACAAAATGTTACCAAAGAGCTCACCAGTCATGGCATTCATTTATATCTTAGAAGAGGTCTTGCCACAAAATGACCGGGAATATATTTTATCTGAAAAACGAAAAAACATCAGCATACTTAGGAAATCTCTTAGGAAAGTGTTATTCTGGCTCTAAACAGCTCTTTTGTCCATAGTATCCTTTTGGTTAACTTTAAAAAAAAGGACCATTTAAACCAGTATTTATCAATAAGAGACGGTATGAGACCAGGATGTTCCAAGGGGCAACGGCAGAATTCCCATGGGTGGGAGAAAGCAGGAGACTAGAGGACCATTAGCAGGAGAGGGCAGGCCACCAGGCCACACGTGGAAAAAAAGGCTGGAAGGGGCCAGAGTCTGAAAAAGACGGAAAAACATGAACCTGGGAACAACATTTTTACCAGGACAAGTTTAATCCTGCAGAGTACCAATCTCTTTCTTTCACAGAAATAATTGAATATATTAAAATCTTCAAAAGACCATGGTAAATTAATCCTGCAAAACATCACTTTGAAGGTGAATGAGGTCAGAGACCAACATACAAAATAGCACCTTGCTTAAAAACAAAACCAAAAAAGCCAATTATTTCTTAAAAGAACTGTGATCATCTAACAGGTTCAGAACTCAAATGAAAGCAATAAACCTCTGCACACACTCTATTTCATCTGAACACCTTCCCACTATTTCTTTTCACTGTGCATCAAATAAAAATACCTGACAGCGAGATTGTGCAGGATACTCCAAAGTCTAGCTAAATGTAGACTTTCTTCTTAGCTAGAAATCTACAGATTTTAAATACGGAAGCGACTGAATTCCAAAGCCTTATGTTCCTGGTTTAGGAACACCATTTTCAGCAGCTTCCTCCTCAATCCCAGATGGAGGACTGGCACGACAAATAAAAACAAGTACACGTGTCTGTGTTACTTTCGGGCAAGTGCCCGACTGTCGGGCAAGAGGCGCCCTTTTCCGCAGGTGCGTCCACGCGCACTGGCCCTCGGGAAAGGAGCCGTTGGCGGGGCGGGGGCGGCGCCGTCCCCGGGGCGCGGGGCGAAGCGCTGAGGACGGGAGGGCGTGCGGGCAGCTCGGAGGCCGGGGAGGGCGTCCCGCAGCCGGGGGCCGCGAGGACAGAGCGAGGCGCCGCGGGAGGGGCGCCGGGGAGCACCGGGCGGCAGGTACCGGCGGCGGCAGCGGGGGCGGCGGCGGGGGCGGCAGCGGGGGCGGCGGCGGGGGCGGCAGCGGGGGCGGCAGCGGGGGCGGTGGCAGGCACGTGGTTAGGCGCGCGCGGCGCGGCTTGTGCGCACGCGCAGCGGCGACCCAGCGGTGCGGCGGCGGCGACCTGAGCCTGACTGCGCCTGCGCGCGACCGAGGCCCCGCCCCCAAGAGATACCGCCCCGCCTCGCAGCGAGGCTTTCTCGCCCGCTGAAAAGGAAAGAAAGAAAAGGTCAAAAGGAAGCCCCCATGGGCAAAGCAAGAGGGATTTGCAGAGGGCGGGGGGGGGGGGGGGGGGGGAGGCGCAGCGGACGCGGGCGAGAAAGCCTCGCTGCGAGGCGGGGCGGGATGTCTTGGGGGCGGGGCCTGGGCCGCGCGCAGGCGCAGTCAGGCTCAGGTCGCCGCCACCGCGCCGCTGGGTCGCCGCTGCGCGTGCGCACAAGCCGCGCCGCGCGCGCCTAACCACGTGCCTGCCACCGCCCCCGCCGCCGCCCCCGCTGCCGCCGCCGGTGCCGCCCCCGCCGCCGCCCCCGCCGCCGCCCCCGCTGCCGCCGCCGGTACCTGCCGACCGGTGCTCCCCGGCGCCCCTCCCGCGGCGCCTCGCTCTGTCCTCGCGGCCCCCGGCCGGGACGCCCTCCCCGGCCTCCGAGCTGCCCGCACCGCCCTCCCGTCCTCAGCGCTTCGCCCATCGCCCCGGGGACGGCGCCGCCCCCGCCCCGCCAACGGCTCCTTTCCCGAGGGCCAGTGCGCGTGGACGCACCTGCGGAAAAGGGCGCCACTTGCCCGAAAGTAACCACAGACACGTGTACTTGTTTTTACTTGTAGTGCCAGTCCTCCATCTGGAATTGAAGAGGAAGCTGCTGAAAATGGTGTTCCTAAACCAGTAACATAAGGCTTTGGAATTCAGTCGCTTCCGTATTTAAAATCTGTAGATTTCTAGCTAAGAAGAAAGTCTACATTCAGCTAGACTTTGGAGTATCCTGCACAATCTCGCTGTCAGGTATTTTTATTTGATGCACAGTGAAAAGAAATAGTGGGAAGGTGTTCAGATGAAATAGAGTGTGTGCAGAGGTTTATTGCTTTCATTTGAGTTCTGAACCTGTTAGATGATCACAGTTCTTTTAAGAAATATTTGGCTTTTTTGGTTTTGTTTTTAAGCAAGGTGCTATTTTGTATGTTGGTCTCTGACCTCATTCACCTTCAAAGTGATGTTTTGCAGGATTATTTTACCATGGTCTTTTGAAGATTTTAATATATTCAATTATTTCTATGAAAGAAAGAGATTGGTACTCTGCAGGATTAAACTTGTCCTGGTAAAAATGTTGTTCCCAGGTTCATGGTTTTCCGTCTTTTTCAGACTCTGGCCCCTTCCAGCCTTTTTTTCCACATGTGGCCTGGTGGCCTGCCCTCTCCTGCTAATGGTCCTCTAGTCTCCTGCTTTCTCCCACCCATGGGAATTCTGCCGTTGCCCCTTGGAACATCCTGGTCTCATACCGTCTCTTATTGATAAATACTGGTTTAAATGGTCCTTTTTTTTTAAAGTTAACCAAAAGGATACTATGGACAAAAGAGCTGTTTAGAGCCAGAATAACACTTTCCTAAGAGATTTCCTAAGTATGCTGATGTTTTTTTGTTTTTCAGATAAAATATATTCCCGGTCATTTTGTGGCAAGACCTCTTCTAAGATATAAATGAATGCCATGACTGGTGAGCTCTTTGGTAACATTTTGTTGCTTTTTAACCTAACACTGTGCCTAGTATGATTAATTTTTTTTTCTTTTCGGGGCACACCTGCTGATGCACTGGCTTTGCACTCAGGAATTATTCCTGGCAGTGCTCTGGGACCATATGGGATGCTGGTAATCGAGTCCAGGGTCAGCCGTGCGCAAGGCAAATGCCCTCCCTGCAATGCTATGGCTCCAGCTCCATAATTAATTTTTCACTCTTATCTTCACATTCCTTTTGCCAAAAGTTCTTCCAATGCCTACTTTTTATGGTTCTATCTACTGGATATCTTAGCACATTCCCTTAGATCCTTTTTGCAAGAGAGAAAGCTTTACGCATAAAGATACATTAGTTTGTCATACAAAAACTTCTTGACAGCCTCTTTTCACATTTCTATCACTTTTTTTTAGTTTTTAAAACATTAAATTTACAAAGAAGAAATGGAAACATTGGTTTCATAACTCTAAACCCATAGATGAAACAAATTGGTTACTGTTTCAGTTATTCATGTTGAAGGTGCATTATTGAATCTATTTTATTACTGTTTATGTTGGTACAGAAAGTGACTGAAACTGAATATGATAGTGACAGTGATGATGATGAGGATGATGTTCATGTCACTATCGGAGACATTATAACGGGAGCACCACAATATGGGTAAGTTTTTAAATTTTCAATTTCTAGTCTTATGGTGCAGGGAATTGATCCCAGGACCACATACATGTGAAGCATGTGCTCTCCCACTGAAATACATCCTTTACTTCTTTAACTAGCAGTCCTGTATCAAAAACTGGGTGCCATTATTAAGACGTTAGTGATAGATTCTGTTGGTTTTACATTTTTTATCATATCATGATATGAAAGCATTCTTATTTAAGTCTTACTTTCAGTTACTAAAAGTTGTACATCTTAAACATTCTTATAAGAAGAAAATGAAAACTGTGACGATGAATGTTAAATTGCTGTGATCAGCATTTTGCAGTTTATATACATACATATATGTATGTATATGTATGTCAAGTCATGTTGAACACCTAAAACAAATTCTTTGTTATTTATGTCTCAAAAAATACTTAGCCATGGAAAACATTTCCTTCCTAATGGTGAATTGAATTATAAAAGTTGCATGGAATCAGTAATTTGTAATTCTAGGACTGAAAGTGTTTTTGTAAAATGAGTGCTACAAATTTTTAGATTTAGAAACTATTAAATTACAGCTTGTATTCTTCCAATCTTGAGCTTTGTTTTTTTATGTATGTTATATATGTATATATTTTAAAATAAGGCCCAAAACTGGTAGTGTTGGGGATACTTTCAGTGGTATTCATGGTACAGGATCTGACATGTTAGGCATGTGCTTTTATTTGAGCTATTTTCTTAGCTCTAGGATTTTAATATTTTTAATTCAGTTTTTTAATTGATTTTTAAAAAATCAGAAGGCTTTTATTTTTAAACTCTCTATGGCTTGTTTCTTTAGTTTTGGGGAGTAGGAGCACACCCAGAGATATTCAGGTGTTACTCTGGAACCGATCCTTTAAAAAATACATTTTTAGCAGGGGTGAGGGTTGGAGCCACACCCAGCTGTGCTCAGGGCTTGCTCCTATCTCTGTGCTCAAGGATCCTTCCTGTTGGGTTTTAGCGACCATATGGGGTGTCAGGGATCCAACCCTAATCAACTGTGTGCAAGGCAAGTGCCTAACCTGCTGTGCTATCTATCTGGCCCCGAAGTTTTAAAATATTTTAAAATGTATTTTAAAACTATATTTCAGAGTTCGTTCCAGATTTTTCTGTAGCTTTGAATTGCTGTCTGCGTGAGATGCTGAATCCAGAGTAAGCCAGCAGCTTCCCTGCTGAAGAAGATAATTTATGAAAATTCACTTAAAAAAAGACTAAATCTCCTATCTTGAATCTCTGCATACAGTGTAACTTGATAGTATATTTTTTTTAAAAAATAATTTAAAATGATTTTTAGGGGCTGGAGAGATAGCACAGCAGTAAGGCGTTTGCCTTGCAAGCGGCCAATATGGCCGACCCGAGTTCGATTCCTCCGCCCCTCTCGGAGAGCCCGGCAAGCTACCGAGAGTATTCGATATGCCAGACACAGTAACAACAAAGTCTCCGATGGAGACGTTACTGGGCCCGCTCGAGCAAAGCGATGAATAGCGGGAGGACCGTGACTAAATCCTTAATCCGTGATTTTTAGGGGCTGCAGAGATAACACAGCGGGCAGGGCGTTTGCCTTGCATGGGGCCGACCCAGGTTCGATTCCCAGCATCCCATATGGTCCGCTGAGCACCGCCAGGAGTAACTCCTGAGTGCAGAGCCAGGAGTAACCCCTGTGCCTCGCCGGGTGTGACCCAAAAAGCAAAATAAAAAAAAAAACAGATTTTTAGTCATTAGTTACAGACATTTAATATTCCAACACCAGTCCACCACCATTGCACCTTCTCACCACCATTATTTCCAATTTTCCCAACTACCACTTGAACGTGCCCCCATAGCAGACCCACTATCATTTATTTTACATTGCTCGTTTTAAATAATTTGATAAAAGGATGATCAAAAACTGTTTCCTTAGAAGAAAGATTGTGAATTTTTTCTTTGTTTGCTTTTTTGCTCCAGCCCCGGTAGTGAAGATTCTTCTATCTCACCATGGAGCCCTTAAACCTTGTGTAAGAGATTACTAAGACGTTACAGGTAAAGCCTTCTGTGTATAGATTTTGTCAATTGAAATTGGTTGCCTTTCATATTACATACCATCCAGTCCTGTGTGCTACTTCTGGCTTAACAGTGTTACAGAGTTAGAGATGTTGCGTAGCCAGAATTGCATCCACACACTCCAGGGTGTCCAAAAGTGTTGACGGAGTAACAGATGGAGTGAAATTCTTAACTGGTGGCTTTGGGGCATAGGCCTGACGGCTGGGCTTCCAGAAGCACAGAGGGTAGTCTGTGCCCGATCTCTGAAAGCTGATTGTGGAATGTGGAGGTTTTTGGCTGCTGGCACTCTGTTTGGGTGGACGTGGGGATTCACCCGTTCCTC